ATAATTATCTGTAAGCCTTCGTTGAAACTAAATCGAGATTTGAACTATTATCGAAGATAATTTGAGGTTCTTTATTCAAAAAACAGTTCATTTTTTCCTGTTTCTCAATAATTCTTTTCCAGCTTTCTGTCTGCGTGTTAACAGCTGAATTCTGAGGGACGCTACCGCCAAAATTTAAGAAATTTATTTTATCACAAACCGACAGTTACTAGCGTAATAGTTTTCAGTTTAAAATAAGTTTTCCAATAATAATTTTTTTCACCCTGCAAATTCCTTTGCGGTGTTTCTCTCGGCGTCTTGACCGCAGATTGCATAATTTTGATCAATCACCGAAAATTGTCGAGTCCTTTCAATTGTCTGAGCGATTTTTGCATAAGGTGAAGTTTTAATTTTCTTTTTGCATCGTCGTTAAAATTGATTCGCAAACATGAGGATAATCTTTTCGAAAAAAAATTTTGCCTTAAAGAAAATAAATTAAATGAAAGCAATAAAAAAAACTTATTTTGCAACTAATGACTTGTTTCGTTCAAGAAAAAGTTTGACTCGCTGTTTTTGTGGAGTTAATTCGTGACGTGTGAACATAGAGATACAAACTGAAAAAGAAATTAAAAAAACTTTGCCTATGCTCTTAAATTTTCTAATTATCCATAATATGAGGTAGTACTAGATTCTCTGTGCACACATTCGTCGCAGTTGAGGCATTGACTAACTGCAGGAAATCCGTCGATATACTTGTAAACATGAATGCTTTGAAAAACTTTGCTCCATTTTATTTTTTTAGAGTTTTCGGGATCAAAAGCAACGTAAAAGCAAACGGGTCTCGGAAACTTTTCGTTTAATTCTTATGGTTTTAAAGTGAAGGTGGTTTAATTATTCTGTATGTTTTTGTCGCAATCAGTGTTTAGTGGAACGCAAGTAAATTGTGAAATATCTGTGCGAGAAAATAGTCAATACTTTTTTCGAAAAAACGCGACAAGGTACTCGTTCTCTTTTTCATCGTGCTGTCCATAAAAACACCTATTTTTCTTGGATTGCAAAATCATTTCTTAATCTGAACAAAAAAATATGTCAAACAAACAGGAATCTTGAAGAATTTTGAGGTTAAAGCTAACTTTTGAGGTGGTAGTTAGTTCTCTCCAGTAGTAAAAGAAAGGCTTTCGTTTCATTCAAAACATTGGGAAACCGAACGCAAAATGTAATTTTTCTCAGCAGAATTTGGTGCAAGAAAGTTATTCGGAAATCCTATATTCAATAGTATGTCCTTTCAAATAGGGCAATGCAAAGCAAGGGAGGGCATCGTAAGGCAAGGCAAGTCTGAGTAGTGCAAGGCCAGAAGGGATAGGGTAGCGTAACGCAGGGTAGCGTAAAGCAGGGTAGCGCTAGGCATGGCAGGGCAGTGCAGCGCAAAAAAAATCAGTGGAAGGAGATAAAGTTAGGCAAGGGCAGAGAAAGGAGGAGCATGCATGCAGCGCAAAGCAAAGCAAGACAGATTACCGCAGCACAGGGCAGGGTTAGCGAGACAGGGCAGGAAACTCGCCTTGAAATTAAATATTTCAGTTTCGGGACTTCAATTTTATCCGTCGAAACAAAATGAATGGTTTGAAAGATTCATCGCTTGAATAGTTTGTTTCCTAAAACCTTGACAATTTGGAACTAATGAGAGCTATCAAAATTGAATAGTTTCAAGATTGCAGTAATTACAATAATTGCTTCAAGGCAACTTAGTTTTTTTGCAAACCAAACAAATTTAATCTTAAAACAATTATAATAGCTTGATAGCTTGCTCTACAAACTTTTTTCAATTTTTTTGCCTTCTCTTTTTTTGCAACTCCAATCAGGCCAGCAAAACGCTTGAGAGCTTGCCTAAAATTACTTCAAAATCAGTCTCGAAAATGTTTCTTTCAAGTGCTGAAAAGCGGAAATCATGGCATTAAGGTGTCTCTCCAGGATTTAGTTGCAATTAAAGCGTTAATATTATGCACGCGATTTTTAAACGTACTGACTAATCAACAGGGTAAAATAATGCGGTGTGCCAGTTGCCAAGCATAGCAGGCTTGCGTCGAACAGAGTCGAACGTAATTTTCCTTCGGCCAAGACGGTCGAAACACAGCCAGCTTGGAATCGAGTCGGTCAAAACAGAGCCATTTTGGTTCAAATATAGCTATCTTTTGTCGAGTTGAGCGAAACTCAATTCGAATACCTCAGCCCGGGTCTTAAACGCAGTTAAGTCCGATCATGGAGATATAACTTCCCTAATGGGAAAAGTGCAGACTGGGTTGTTTAGTAAATAAGTTTCCGCCAAAAAATTGGCTGATGAATCCTAACCGATAACAATCGACTGACGTAATGAATCAACGTAACTATAGTTTTCAACAAGTTCATTGGTCAACGTCTGAAAAAGTTCTGGCCTTGACAGTGAAATGGTATATGAAATTCTATAGTTTTTACAAGTTTATTGGACAATGTCTGAAATAATTCTGGCCTTGACAGCTCATTGGCATAGGAAATGCAAACAAGATTTCAAATTTTCATTTGCATATTTTGTGGCTATTTCTTCAATTATTTATCCTTCAACAATTATGCGCCATGCAGATTTTCAGACAAAAAAAAACAGAAAACCTTGACAAATAGGCAAATGCGTTACTTCAATGAACAAATTCGATTTACTGTTAGCTTGAAGGTCACAATTTTTTCAAAAATCAAGACGGAAACTTCTTGACTTTACGCGAAAACTACCGTGCGAATTTTCAGGTTGTGCAATCGAGAAAGCCGGTTTTGGAGTCCTTTTCTGCTTAAACGGCCACAACCTGCTCTTTACAGGAAAAAATATGAATTTTGGAAAATTTTTTGACCGTTTCTTAGAACTTTTGACCGTACTCTGAAAACTTTTTTAATTTTCTTAATTTTTACATAATCAAAAATAAGATTTAAAATTTAACTGAAAGAGCAGGTTGCGATAAAGGTTCCTGCAGAATCCGTGGCTATTTGAAGTGTAATTTTATCAGAAATGTAATAGAAATGTTATCTCCTTGGGAAAACTGACAAATGTTATCTCAAAAAATTTTACTCTTCCCACTTATTTTAGTAGAGATATCTGGGCATTTACATTGATAAAAAATAAAGCAATGAAAGACAAATAAACGAGGTTCGAGTTAAGTTAAACCGATTTTGTGAGATGTTTTACGTGCGAAACATACGTTCAACCAATTGTGCAAAACGGCGAACTTGTTTATGCTGCTAGTGTTAAAAGCAAAATAAATTCATTGGAAAAAACTAAAAATTGATTTTAAAAAAATAAGGTAGTTCCCAGTATTGCTATCAGTCAATTGAACAAATCAGAAATCTGAAACAACTTTATATCGTTTATGAAAACAGACAATTTGTGTCTAATCGCGATCTACCAAAATGATCTGCTTTTTCTGAAAAGAATATATAAAAAAATGATGAAGTGTTAAAAAAGTTTTTGGGAACATTTTATTTTAATAATTATTATAATAGTTGGAAACAAATTTTGGGCAAATTCCAATTTTGAAATCACATGTTTCGTGCGGCATCAGTTTTACAAAATCAAAAAATCTAATACTTACCTCCAGCCACCCATAGTTGTTTCTGATGGTTGTATGGTGCCGCCCCTAGTTTTCTTTTGAATCTAGACATACCAAAATTTTGGTTCATATAGGTATTTCAACTTGGTACTTTTTAAGAAATCCATTTTTGGCCGACAGACCCTAAAATTTTTCTAAAGGCGCCTTTGGCGTCAATATATACTAACTTTGAGGGGGAGCGAGCGCCCAAAAAAACGCAATTTTTTTGTCAAAATTTTCCAAAAAGAGCCAAAAAATGGCTTTTTTACCTGTTTTTTCAAAAACTTGCCTGCGGAGCAGAAAATTTGGCCAAAACAGCGTTTTTATACTGCTTTAGGAGACCTCGGAAAATCAATTTGGCCGACCTAAAAAAAAGGTCGTCAAAATTTTCGAAAATTTTTTGAAAATCCGCCCCCCCCCCCTCGATCCGCCCCTGTTTCAACTTGGGTTTTGTTTTGATTTACGTCTTTTCATGTTTGTGTTTTATCGCTTCGCCTTTGTAATTAAAAACTATAATGTGCTGTATTTTATGATAGGAAACTCCAAAAGCAATTAAATTACCTTATTCCAACAAAATTTGAGTTGATAGTATACTTTGAAATGAAGGCAAAACTTATGATATTTTCATTTTTGCATAATCATAGTTCAAAACGTAGAAAAATTATAGTTTCCTTATATCTCATTCACGGGTGTGGTACTAATGGTACTTTTCTAATGGAAAGAAAATAATGGTACTGTTAGTCGGAATTGTGACTCAATTCGTTTGCCTATAATGAAGTAAGCATTGAATTCGGACCACGAAATCTAACGATGTCATCCGTCTCCTCAACATGGGAACGCCTACGACAAAATAATGAGAAGCAATGGCGCAAATAAAAAGCAACATAAGTTTGTCTTAACAGTCCTTTTCACCCTTTTCAAAATCTTTCGAAAGCACTCAAATAAATCTGATTATAGAAAATTGAACCTGAGTGGATATCTTCAGACGCATAGTCAAACCCATTCGTTTTGGCTCCCCGTAGCAGTTTAGTTCCTTATACCTGCACAAATTATGATAGTAATAAATATTATACCGTTAATACAAATTATAGTCACTTCGTCCTGATTAAAGGGTGAGAATGAAATGTTAACTGTTTGCCGTATGCGAGCTTAGTATCCAAACAATCGCTTACAGCCTGATTGAGGTCAATATTTCGGAACAAACTAACACCTCCCTTCCCTCCTCAGTCGTTTAAGGGGAGGATGTTTACTTCCAGTTCCGAGTTCAAGTTTTTAGCCAATCAGAATAGAGAATTTTACACGCAGCGCTTATTGGAGTGGTGGAGGATCTTAAGTTGATCTATATTTTAGAGGGAATGAGGGTGTTACATTGATCTGATTTTTCTTACAACCCGATCTGTGAGGAAAACTAAGTGGTTGAAGAAAAAAAATTTTCTATTGTGTTTGAGTTGTATACTCCATACCGTTAATACAAATTTGAATAAATTCGTCAAAAATTATTGGAATTGGTTACATAATTTTACTGAACTTAAGCACCATAATTTAATTGTGAAGTAATCGGATGACTGCAACTGATCTCGTCGAATCTTTGTTTCTGTTTTGTTCTTTTTTGCCTCCCCATTCTGTTTCTTCTCTTTCGTGAAGCCTCTTCTCAGTTGGACCCTAGTGTATGATGATGGTGGAGAGGTCACCTAGTCCTAGTCCTGTGCCCGAATCCATGCCGTCCATATTGAGTTTATCGTTGCTTTGTTGCTGGAGCTGGTCTGAAACAAGGCTATTAATTTTAATTAAATCTAACTGATACATATAATGATGAAACTTTGTTGATATTGATGCTTTGAATCCTGAATTCAAATAATCCTTTGAAAATTAAGAATAATTGCAAACCCAAGGACTTGTGTTAGAAAATTTTCTGAGCTTTGATTGAACTTTTCGCATATTTGGAGATAAATTTGCTTACGTGTAATTTTGAGGTAAAATTCACTCGACAGGTCAAAGTGGTTTTTATTTAAAATTTTTTATAATCCTTTTGAACTTTTTAGAACACACTTAACTTTGAAATTGATCGAAAAGTTCTTAGAGCAAGGTAACCTTTAAATATGGAGTCCGCCCTTTGCTAACTATGAATCTTTGATAAGTAATGAAATGTGAGGCGTTCAGAATTGAATTGGGTACACTAACAGTGGGGATATTTGCAGTGACTGTTTTAAAAGAGGACAAGTCCGATAATGAGTTATTGAGGGCAGAAACTACTGGCAGTTTCATTGGGCACATCGAAGTGGCGTGATCAAGTTAACGAATCTTATCTAGAGTTGGTATCTGATACCTGGTTAAATTAATGCATACAGAGGAGAAACGCATCGAGTGTGTCCTCACCGTGTGTTAAAAGAGATAATGCTGAGATGCGTGCGCTGATGATCAACTGTTAAATACCCGACGGGAAGAAAAATCAAAATTTCTCAATAGAAACAAATATTCTAACTCTTAGTGGGAACAAACAAATTTCCACGCTTGAAAAGTACTTTTGGCGTTATCAGTTCACTTAAATAGCAGCTTAAATAGCTAGGGTTTTTGGTTTCAATTAGTTGGACTTGGTTTAGCGAATGATCATCAAATGGATGATGTTTTCATGAACTATTAATCTCATCGCAGACTTTTGACAGTTTGTGTGCAGACAAAATAGAAACTTTGTCATTGCCATATTTGACAATAAGTGTACCATCCAAATTTGTATGAGAATTTGCAAGTTTCCAAAATTGGCAAATATCAAATAAATCAAAAAGAGAATTCTTGCTCACGGTATCCAAATTGAGGTGGCATCCCGCATTTAAGAAAAGTGAAAACAAATCGATTATAATGGATTTTTGCGGTCTAAAATGTTGTAAACATAATCGATTCCCATGTTATGCTCAGACAACAAAATTGGACTAAAAATGGATTTAAATCCATTTTTCTCGCAAAAACAAAACGCATTATAATTCATTTGAAATCCATTATAATGGATTATATAATAAGTAGAAAATCACATTAAAACGGATTTTTTTCCACTTTATTTTTGGTTCGCGTCGTGCAAACTTTTGCAAGAATTTCTGCATTTACAAATGAGTTATGCGGAAACTTTGCAAAGCGAGTGTACGGCCTAATCCATTTTTAAACTGGATCAAGTTTACATCCTCCCTCCCCCCTCCCCAAATCAGTTTAGGGGGGAGGATGTTAACTTGGTTCTGAGTTCGAATTTTCAGCAAATCAGAATAGAGCATTTACATGCAGCGCTTATCAAAGTTAATTTAAACAACGCTGGGTGGAGGATCTTAACTTGGTCTATTCGGGGGTGGGGGGTCTGGGGTGGAGAGGATGTTTACTTGATCCTCTAAACCTAAGCTCAATTTGCAAAAAGTTTCTGTTAAGCTCTCCCGTCCCCTAACGATGGTCCCTTTGCTCCGCTCCTGAACCCCCCCCCCCCCAGCCTGAAACACCGTCCCAATCACCCCCGCCGCACCTCTTCTGAACCACAACCCCCCTTTCGCACCTATAAAGCTCACCCCCTAGCGTTTTCCCTCCCCCGTTTGACCCCCCCCCCCCCCCCCCCCCCCCCAATGTGAGGGGGGGGCTTGTAAAAGGGTAAAGGCTAGGGGGGTAATGGAAGGGGGATTAGTGCACTTCCAACTTTGCCAAGGGAGGTAATGGAAGTGTGATTAGTCCACTTCCAACTTTGCTACCCCCTTCCTCAAAGTTTAAGAAATTTGATGAAAGGAACAAAGTTCGGTTACAGTTATTGAGTAACATAGAAAAAAAACAAAAATACCAACGTTTGGCAGAAAAAAATTAAATTGAACAACAAGTAACCAACTTTAATTTAAAACGTAGAAAAGACTTTATGTGCGTTGAAATTCGCATCTGAATAAAACGGAAAAAAATCGATTATAATATTGTTTCAATGTCATTATCCGTAAAAGTGTAAAAAAAAATCGATTATAGTGGTTGAAAAAAGGATTTTGTTGCCCCGAAGTATAGTAATATTATAACCCATTTTTAATTGATTATAATTGATTTGTTTTCATTTTTGTGGACCCTGACAAGGAAACTCAATTATAATATGTTTTTATAGATAGAACTCCAATGCGGGAGGTGCTTGTCGATGTAATTTGGAAGTATATGTCAAAATTGTAGATGGATTTACAAACAAAACTTGCAAACCGCCTTAATAACAGATGCTACCTGAATGTGATTTGCAGGCGCATGTATTTGCAAAAGAACACTACTAATGACTATATTAACTGTTGTATACAATAGGGTAGGCTCGAATCCTGTTTTTAAGGATGAATGAAAACAAAGGACTAAGACAAAGTCAAAAAACGATACGTATCAATGTAGAACAGTTAGCTATAGGATGAAATGTTCGTTTAACTTTTTAATTATGTTTTTTACTGGATATTAGGACATTGACTTCAAATTTTTTTAGAAAAATTAATTCATCAGTTTCGAGATATTTGGATAATGGATAACAAAATCTTTTTGAAGTTTTTTGGTGTTTTTTGATATTTGCCTTCCTTGTTTGCCTTCTGTTTTTAGGGAAAAAAGATTATGGTTGCCTGCATTTTTTATATTACTAAAACAAAAGTGTGTCTGTTTTTGTTCCGACTTTCGATACGAAAGTAACGGAATATTTGTGCTCGGGGTGGGTTTTTTTTTCTTCTGACAAATTTCGACTTTTTAACTAGCTATTTTTGACGGAATTTTTTTATATCATTCAAAAGGTATTGTTGTCTTGAGCTTAAATTTGAAAAGATACTTCACCTGTAATCATTTTTTGTAAAGTTATGAGGGCTTAAAGATTGCCATTTTGGCCATTTTGACCAATTTGGGACAATTAACGCGCGATATAATTCGCGCTATTAACGCGTAAGCGGAGATTTAATCCGTCATATAAATCGTTCCAAATTGGTTGAACGAAGCTTATTTGCCATAATTGATGTGTTACAAGGAACGAAAACTATCTTTTTGTACGTTATGAGGGGATGATTTTCATTAAAAAAATTTCAAATTTTAGAAAAAAAATTTTTCATTTTATTTTATTTCATATATGGTTTTTGTGTTATTACTGCTGCTTCATAAACCTTCAAAAGCAGTCGGAACATTCAGGGCTTCGCCCTGATACGAGCAGTCTTGTATATATTTCTGTTTGTCTGAACTTCTTGCAACTTCGTGGACGAATCTGAACGAAACTAATTAATCTAAAACTGCTCATTTGGACTTCGAATTTCTGTGTTTCACTGATCTATACGCGTAAAATTCGTGTACAAAAAAACTAATTAGCCGAAAAAGCTATAGTTATCGACCGATTAAATCGCTCAAGGTCACCGATATTGCCAACAGGCACGGATCTAGGAATTTTTTGAGGGGCGCGGGTGCGGATTTTCAAAAACATTTTGAAAATTTTAGTGTCGACCTTTTTTTAGGTCGACCAAATTGATTTTGTGACCTTTCCAAAACCAATATAAGACCCAAATTTGACCAAATTTTCTGCGCCGGAGGCAAGTTTTTAAAAAAAGATCAAAAAAGGCGTTTTTAGTCACTTTTTGGAAAACTTTGGCCAAAAGATTGCGTTTTTTTGGCGCGCGCTCCCCCCTCAAAATTTGTATAGATTGGCTCCAAAGGCGCCTTTAGAATAATTTTAAGGTCAGTCAGCCAAAAATGGATATCTCAAAATAGTACAAAGGGGGGACCCATTGTGTCGGCTGGGGGTCAAATCCCCGAGAGAGGGGGGCGTCCGCCCCTCCTAAATCCGCTACTGATTGCCAATAATTTGGCATTAACTGTATAAAGAGCAATCTTCCAATTTTGAGCAAATTTTGCATGCCACAATTGGAATTTTTTAGGAGAATTTTTTAAAGTCAACTTTCTGTGACTGGTTCAAATTTAAGCTGGTGATGTTAGGTTTTTAATGATAAATATGGACAAGACTGTTCGTATCAGGGCGAGGCCCTGAATGTTCCGACTGCCTTTTAAGGACTATGGAGCAGTAATAACATGAAAATTTAAATGTAAAATAAGATAAAATATTTTTCTTAATTTAAAATTTCGCACCTAGTAACACATCAATTATCCCCTTTGATACTTTTTCAGAAATCCATTTTTGGCGGACCGACCCTAAAATTTTTCTAAAGGCGCCTTCGGCGCCGATATATACTAACTTTAAGGGGGAGCGCGCGCCAAAAAAAAAACGCGATTATTTTTTGTCAAAATTTTTCAAAAAGTGCCCAAAAACGGCTTTTTGACTGTTTTTTCAAAAACATGCCTGCCGCGCAGAAAATTTAGCCAAAATAAGGGCAAAACAGTGCTTTGGGAGAGCTCGAAAAATCAATTTGGTCGACCTAAAACAAAGGTCGTCAAAATTTTCAATTTTTTTTTGAAAAGCCGCCCCCCTCGAGAAAATCCTAGATCCGCCCCTGAGTCAAATGTTAGAATAATGGTAAGTTCATCAATGGGCCAACTACATAGTGTTAGTGCGTGTTTGTTATATAGTTGGTAAATTGCAAGCATGCTGTGAAGGTTTTTTGTGCAAGATCTTACAATGTGCACTTTTTCTGAGCATTGCCAGAAAGTTTTGATTACTTTTCGCTTCTTTCCCTAATTTTTTCCTATTTTTTTAAATTTAGCACTGATGATTAATTGGAAAGCTTCAAATAAAATTCTGCGACAAATTGAAACAAACAGAAACATTTTAAAAGTTTTTTGACAGTTTTTCTAAATTTTTTCAGTCACCTCCACAATATTATTTTCTCCACAAAAAAAATTTCTCGATCGATTTGAAATAATAACCCCTTCTGTTTGTGATAACAAACAAAATCATGATTTAATGCAAAAAAATTTCGATCAGTTTTTTGTCAAAATATTTTTTTTTTCATTTTGTTTAAACTTTTTCGTACCTTTGTTCACTGAATTCACTGAATTGTTCACTCAATGATGCGGAGGCAAAGAAGTAAAATTTAGGAAGCCTTAGTTCAAATCAAATCTAAAAACATCGTTGATAATATTTGGTAAAATTTCGAGAATCCGTTGTTTTGAAATGTCCCCTTTTGTTTCTTTCTTCGCTGATTTTCCCAATTGACTGGTTTCAGTCGTTTCGTTTTGTACTTTTTTTAAATTTTGTTAATAACTTTTAATCAGTGTAATTTTTTCCAGATAGGTTTTTGATTTTTCTACTTGCTAAGACTTTCTGTTTGAAAAAAAAATGGAATAGGTGTCAGTGTTTTGCTTATGGGTATTTTATGCTCGTCATTTTTCTTTTGAATAAGTTTCTAGCAACTTAGCGTCATAAATGTGGTTTCTTTTGGGTCTTTTTATGAATTGATTCAATTTAATC